AAATCTAAAAAGGTCAATAAGCAAATACCAAATACCTATAGTAAGTAGGTAGGTAAGTATATATATGTACTCCTGAGGCTGCACTCAGAACTACATCTACTCCAGCAGACCATAGTATTTCAATCTTTACTCCACTAAAACAATACAATATAATAACTACAGATTCACTTATATAACATATTATTAGCTTTTCAATCATATATAATGTAGAAATCTACAAAGGGCAATAAGTAAATACCAAGTAGGAAGGTAGGAATATATATATATATATATATATATATACATACATTGTTGTTAATAATAATAATAATATTAACTGGATTTAACTGGACTCCTGCGCAGCTGCAACCCGAACTAGCTTGTTTTTAAGTAAGTACGAAACGTCACATTGAGTACTGCATTTATGTAGTTACATTTAGTCCAGTATTTCACTTAGTATTTCAATTTAGTTTGTTACTCTACTGAATTTCAGAAGGAAATATTGTAGTTTTTACTCCACTGCAATTATTTAAAAATGAATAATGTAATATAAAAAACTGAAAAAGGGCAATAAGTAAATACCAAATACTTATAATATAATATATCTTTACCTTAAAAGGTCTAATTATAACAATAATAATATTAATAACAGAAGTACTAGTAGAAAATCAAGATATATATCAAAATCAAAACATTATATATATTTATATAGACATACATTTTGTTAATAATAATAACAAATTATAAAAATATACCAAATATCTCTTTCTTATAAATGTTTTTGTGGATTTTTATTTCATATTTTGATCCTTTAATTCCATTTTATCCATATTTTCTGCGTATCAGAAACCCCTCTCAGTGTAGTGCCTCCAGAATTGTGAATGATTTAAACCCTTCCTCCACCATGCTCATAGTTCACTGTTTAAACACTGATGTCTTACTCGCTGAGATGAAATCACATAAAACTGAATTATTTTTTAACACAGCTGCCAAAAGCCTTTCCCCCAAAAAACACACACACTGGTTGTGACAGAAGAGATGGACGCTGCTGAGCGGCCGTAAATGATGATGAAACGACGCCATTACAGCGGCCGTGTAAAGCTTAATGTTTCAGAAAAGCACTATAAACCCTGGCCATGAGACGGAGTAATGCACACTATGGGATGGATTGATATTCTAGTTGAATATGACAAACGACACTTTAAAGACGGCCCGCCCACACGATTGCACTTCAGCCGAAAGGACGACATATTTCACGTTCTGTCAGATGTTTGCATTTATAACAAGACTCATCCCTGACCCTGCAGAGCAACACTAGCACTTAGAAACAGGAGAGGAGCTGTTGCATAATCAGCAGAAAGTGTGTGTGTGTGTGTGTGTGTGTGTGTGTGTGTGTGTGTGTGTGTGTGTGTGTGTGTGTGTGTGCGTGTGTGTGTGTGTGTGTGTGTGTGTGTGTGTGTGTGTGTGTCTGTGTCTGTGTGTGTGTGTGTGTGTGCGTGCGTGTGTGTGTGTGTGTTTGAGGATGTAGGACAGCAATTATCAAGAATAGATAAGGAAAAACAGACGGTGAACTACTGTACGTTTTTTGCGCTGAGTGTATGTGTGTGTGTGCGCGTGTGTGTGGGTGTGTGTGTGTGTATATGTGTGTGTGTGTGTGCGGGTGTGTGCGTATGTGTGTGCGTACGTGCGCGTGCACGCGTGCGTGCGTGCGTGCGTGCGTGCGTGTGTGTGTGTGTGTGTGTGTGTGTGTGTGTGTGTGTGTGTGTGGGGTCAAGGGAATATCAGGAGTGTCTCTCTCTCTCTCTCTCTGGACTGACAGCTTGGCTAATGGCTAACATTCCTCCTCTCTTTATTCCCCACTTCATCAACACCCTCGCCTCATTACTGTGAGTAACACTGTACACACACTCTCTCACACTCACACACACACTCCCACACACCTTCACAATTTCTCCGCTGCTGGGTGATTATCACAGAGACCCTCTCTGTGTGATAGAACAGGCTGAACTGAGACATTTTGATTTGAAGGATCTTGAAACAGAAACACTGTCTGCACCTTCTTCAGACAAGACAAAAGAAAAATGGTGGACCAAATCTCGTCAGAGCGAGAAAGCTTAATGCACATTAATATCTCACCAAGTCCTGGTTTTCATCATATTCCCAAGAGCAAAGGTGTATATCAGTATGTAGTGTCTCTACTTTAAAGAGTCCTCTCCTGCTGATGTTCAGGTGTATATCAGTATGTAGTGTCTCTACTTTAAAGAGTCCTCTCCTGCTGATGTTCAGGTGTATATCAGTATGTAGTGTCTCTACTTTAAAGAGTCCTCTCCTGCTGATGTTCAGGTGTATATCAGTATGTAGTGTCTCTACTTTAAAGAGTCCTCTCCTACTGATGTTCAGGTGTATATCAGTATGTAGTGTCTCTACTTTAAAGAGTCCTCTCCTACTGATGTTCAGGTGTATATCAGTATGTAGTGTCTCTACTTTAAAGAGTCCTCTCCTGCTGATGTTCAGGTGTACATCAGTATGTAGTGTCTCTACTTTAAAGAGTCCTCTCCTGCTGATGTTCAGGTGTATATCAGTATGTAGTGTCTCTACTTTAAAGAGTCCTCTCCTACTGATGTTCAGGTGTATATCAGTATGTAGTGTCTCTACTTTAAAGAGTCCTCTCCTACTGATGTTCAGGTGTATATCAGTATGTAGTGTCTCTACTTTAAAGCGTCCTCTCCTGCTGATGTGCAGGTGTATATCAGTATGTAGTATCTCTACTTTAAAGAGTCCTCTCCTGCTGATGTTCAGGTGTATATCAGTATTTAGTGTCTCTACTTTAAAGAGTCCTCTCCTGCTGATGTTCAGGTGTATATCAGTATTTAGTGTCTCTACTTTAAAGAGTCCTCTCCTGCTGATGTTCAGGTGTATATCAGTATTTAGTGTCTCTACTTTAAAGAGTCCTCTCCTGCTGATGTTCAGGTGTATATCAGTATGTAGTGTCTCTACTTTAAAGAGTCCTCTCCTGCTGATGTTCAGGTGTATATCAGTATGTAGTGTCTCTACTTTAAAGAGTCCTCTCCTGCTGATGTTCAGGTGTATATCAGTATGTAGTGTCTCTACTTTAAAGAGTCCTCTCCTGCTGATGTTCAGGTGTATATCAGTATGTAGTGTCTCTACTTTAAAGAGTCCTCTCCTGCTGATGTTCAGGTGTATATCAGTATGTAGTGTCTCTACTTTAAAGAGTCCTCTCCTACTGATGTTCAGGTGTATATCAGTATGTAGTGTCTCTACTTTAAAGAGTCCTCTCCTACTGATGTTCAGGTGTATATCAGTATGTAGTGTCTCTACTTTAAAGAGTCCTCTCCTACTGATGTTCAGGTGTACATCAGTATGTAGTGTCTCTACTTTAAAGAGTCCTCTCCTGCTGATGTTCAGGTGTATATCAGTATGTAGTGTCTCTACTTTAAAGAGTCCTCTCCTACTGATGTTCAGGTGTATATCAGTATGTAGTGTCTCTACTTTAAAGAGTCCTCTCCTACTGATGTTCAGGTGTATATCAGTATGTAGTGTCTCTACTTTAAAGAGTCCTCTCCTGCTGATGTTCAGGTGTATATCAGTATTTAGTGTCTCTACTTTAAAGAGTCCTCTCCTGCTGATGTTCAGGTGTATATCAGTATTTAGTGTTTCTACTTTAAAGAGTCCTCTCCTGCTGATGTTCAGGTGTATATCAGTATGTAGTGTCTCTACTTTAAAGAGTCCTCTCCTGCTGATGTTCAGGTGTATATCAGTATGTAGTGTCTCTACTTTAAAGAGTCCTCTCCTGCTGATGTTCAGGTGTATATCAGTATTTAGTGTCTCTACTTTAAAGAGTCCTCTCCTGCTGATGTTCAGGTGTATATCAGTATTTAGTGTTTCTACTTTAAAGAGTCCTCTCCTGCTGATGTTCAGGTGTATATCAGTATGTAGTGTCTCTACTTTAAAGAGTCCTCTCCTGCTGATGTTCAGGTGTATATCAGTATGTAGTGTCTCTACTTTAAAGAGTCCTCTCCTGCTGATGTCCAGGTGTATATCAGTTACCCTATAACCTTCACAATTTTTGTGAGTCTTATATCGTCTCATATTTTGTATTAAAGCACAGCTTTTACTGGATGGCTACAAAGTTTGAAGGCCACATTGTGCGTCCTTGTGACAAAAACCTCTACCTTATCAGGCTTTTCGTATTTGCGAAAGTCATTATTGAACATTTCCCAAACACAAATTATTCCTGGTGGGTTTTTTTTTCTTCTTCTTCGTGTGTTTTTAGGCAGACATCCAACTCTCCAATGGATTACCACAGTGGAACCAAACAAACATGGCCGCTTAGAGATCTGTGATACAAAGAGAAACTGGCTGCCTTTCAAAATACCAGAAGTGGAAGCAGTACTTTAATAAAAGTAGAAATACTAAAATCCTAAAATACTCCATTACATGTAAAAGTCCTGAATATACAAAGTTACTTTAATCTAAGTATTATCAGCTATATGTACTTCAAGTATGTTTTTATATCAGTGTTAAACATTAGGTAGATTAATAGAACTAAACTCCTACACATCATAGAAGCATAGTGTTTTTTAATATGTGAAAAAGTAGCTCATTACTCTGAGATTTTAATGTATTGAGGAGAGTTAAAAGTACTACGAAAATGTAGTCAAATAGAAATATAAAGTAGCATAACAAGGTAAATACTCATGTGAAGTACAAGTATGTCATCTCAAATACATTACACCACTGCAAAACCCCAAATTCGTACTCACAGTCAACATAAAGCGTGAGAAAAGCTTGCTAAAAAACCTCAAAAAGGTGTGTACGGCATACTGCAGAGTCCACAAAAAAGGATATTTTACAGATATGTGAGTTTTGAGAGGTGTTTCAGGGGGGCTCAGGTGCCGCAGCGAGGCGGTGATAATGGGCTGTCTCTTTCTCTGTCAGAATAAAAACAACATCAGTCAGGGGGGGGGGGGGGGGGGGGGAAAGAAGAAAAAAAACCTTACATGCAACGTTGGCCACATCTGTGGTGCTGACGTTCTGACGGTTGGGGCTCACTTTGAAGGTCACCGCGGGCCCCACCACACTGGAAAACAAACACACACACACACTCAGATTAACACACTCCAGAATAAAAACCCACTAGTTAAGTGTCTGTTTTTTCCCTCAACACCCTAAACAAACTCTTAATTGTGATGTGATATTAAAAATGGATGCAACTTTTTTAAACGTTATCACATTACATTTGAAACAGATATATTATAGTATATTTATTTGCACATCTCAAACCATTCTCTTGCACTATTTTATCTGTTTTATGTCCTATATATATATTCATGTTTCACTATGGGAGGAGCCTGTGACTTCAGTTTTTCATTGTCATATCTAATACTACACTGTAGCTAATGTGCAAATGACAATATAGCCTTGAATCTTGAATTAAATTGATCATGGTGTCATTACAGGATCTGTAACAAGAAAATATATTTGTTAAGGTTTTAGAAGAACATTTGTAAGCAGGGACGAAATGTAGTAGAGTAGAAGTATAAAGTATATGTAAAGTATCTCAAATGTATACTTAAGTACAGTACTTGAGTATGCGTAAGACCTTCCTTTTAAACAAAGCCTATAGTCTATTTTATTGTATTTCTTTCATTTTATTTCACTTGTGTTTTTTGTCATTTGTACATTCTTATTTTGCCATTTTACTAAATTATCTTGTATTTTTTCCTATATATTTTGACATGGTCATTCCTGTTTGCTTATCTGTAAAGCCCCCTGAGACAAGTGTGCTTTTGTGATATTGGGCTTTATAAATAAAATGTTATTTAATTATATGAAATGTAATTTTCTCCATTGCACTTCTGGTTATTTTGCAGACGGGGGGGGGGGGAAGCAGTCATTAAAGCTCATCCATACATGTCTTTAACCCTGTGGCGATCCTTTAGGCTGTTTCAATCCCCATCACCACCGCGAGATAACCTCTTGAATCTCAATGTAATGCACCCGGCGGCATTTAAAGCATGCTGGGAAATGAATAAAAAGGGGGTCGGAGATGAGGGGGTTTTGGTCATCAACAAGAGGACGCTGTGAACATGGTTTTCAGATTTAAAAAACGTATTTCCAGCACCCTGGAGACATTTACATTTTGATTCAACGTTTGCTGATTGCACGTTGTCGTGATGGATGCAAATTGAGGGTGATAGAAAGTACATTTACTCACATTCATGTATACGTAATATTTATTAAGCATCATTTTTCAGTACTTTTTGGTTAAAGAGGGGGAAAAAACATCTAAAAACCTAATAAAATGTAAATTCTCTGCACATGTTTCTCTCGTTTTTGTTGCCCCACTTCCCTTAGAGGTGGTAGAAGTACTCAGACAAGATACGTGGTTTTCAGATTTAAAAAAGGTATTTCCAGCACCCTGGACACATTTACATTTTGATTCAACGTTTGCTGATTGCACGTTGTCGTGATGGATGCAAATTGAGGGTGATAGAAAGTACATTTACTCACATTCATGTACGTCATATTTACTTAAGAACACGTTTTCAGTGCTTCTTGGTTAAAGTGGGGGAAAAAACTGCTAAAAACCTAATCAAATGTAAATTCTCTGCACATGTTTCTCTCGTTTTTGTTGCCCAACTTCCCTTAGAGGTGGTAGAAGTACTCAGATACGTGGTTTTCAGATTTCCATTCATGTACTTAATATTTACTTAAGAAAACGTTTTCAGTACTCCAGATAAGATAAGATAGTACTTTATTGATCCCAATTTGGGAAATACAAATGAAAAAAACTATAAATAAACAAGAAAGTAGAAAATATACATATTGTTGGATAAAAAGGGGGGAAACACACCTAAACATCTATTAAAATGTCAATTTTCTGGCCATATTTCTCTCGTTTTTGCTGCCCCCACTTCCCTTAGAGGTGGTAGAAGTACTCAGATATTTAACCTTAAGGAAGTTATACCACAGTGCAGAAATACTCTGTTACAAGTGAAAGAGTAGTAAGGAAATTTGGGCAGCTAAAACGGCAGAAAAGAGAGACAAACGAGCAGAAATTGGACATTTGTTTTGTTTTAAGGTGCTTTTTTCTCCATGATCATCCAACATCCATGCTAATAAAGCTTGAATTGAAACAGCGAGGCGTGAGTCTGGGTGGTCGAGGCAGCGCGGGGTCTCTCAATGTGATTAACCTTTTGTTTTTGCTGCTGTAATTCAGAGTAAAGGCGCAGCAGGGAGATATATCACGGCGCACCGCTATAGGAAGTGGAACAACAGCAGGGTAAAATATGGGGACACCATTAAAGGAGCAGGTCCCATCCTGAAGCAGAGAGACAGATAATGTGTTCAGGACTTTCGGTTTCAAGTTGATTTAAATAGTTGTTTTGTTTTGAGGGGTTTGTGCCGGCTGTGGGGTCTTTGGGTTCAGGACAACATGAACAAGGAGACCCATTTTAAATTTAGGCTGAAGGGAAATAGGAATAAGTCAAAGAGAAATACAAAAGAAATGAAAACGGTTAAACCCATTGCTTAGATTTCTATATTTAAACACTGCTATGTATCTTTTTGAACTTTGCACAAGTTGTTTTAAACACGTTTTTACAAGTTTACGGTTAAACCTTTAATTAATCAAATCAAATCTATTAGGTTTTATTTATAGCACATTTAAAAGCGATTTTTGGTCGAGCCAAAGTGCTGTACATGTAATAAAAACACATTACTACAAATCACAATAAACGACAATAAATTACAACAGATATATCTTAAAAACAAAATAAAAATAAAACACACGGAGAAGTCAGGAGTCGCTCTGACTAGAAAGCCAGAGAGAAGAAGTGTGTTTTTAGTTTTGATTTAAAAACCCCTAATTAAGTATTGCATGATATAACCATTCGATGCTTCAAGATCACGACGAGGGGAATTATGCATGTGACATTTAGAGTTTTTAACATGTAATGACTGATTGCAATTAGCAGTTTAATGTATTCATGTTTCCTAAGTTAAAGGGGCCCTAGTATGCTCATTTTGTTTGGCCCCAAATGTTTTGCATTATTCCAGATTAGTAGAAGGATTACATGCTCTTTCACAAAATGATCTCTAATCCTCCGTCTAAAGTCGTCATGTCCTTGAGCTCAAACACAGCTGTCACTCACAGATCCTAAGAAGTTTACAAGATTTCACCAAAACATTTTTTATTTCGTTTAAACTCGTTAAATATGAAGCGTATAAAAGTGTCCCATTGCACATATCTACACATTCTGATCATGATTGTGCTGTTTGTGAATAGAATTATTTAAAAATAAACATGTTATCCTTTATCTAAATGTAAGATTTCTTTAAAAATATCTGGAAAAACATATTGTCTACAAACCATTACATGGTTACCAAACATCACATGAAAAAGGACATAATTAGCTCTTACGGAAATTGGGTTAGAAAAATGCATGTCGAGTCTGTGTGTTTTGGTTCTTGGACCTAGTTATTGGAAATGTGTGTGTGTGTCTGTGTGTGTGTGAGAGAGCGAGAGTGTGTGAGAGAGAGAGAGCGAGTGTGTGTGTGAGAGAGAGAGTGAGTGAGTGTGTGAACGACGTTAGACGCAGGATTGGAGATCATTTTGTAAAAGAGTATTGCGGGAAGTAATATTTTATATTATGTGTGTGTGTGTGTGTGTGTGCGTGCGTGCGTGCGTGCGTGCATGCGTGCGTGTGTGTGTGAGAGAGAGAGAGTGAGTGAGTGAGTGTGTGAGCTGGTGTGTGAACGACGTTAGACGCAGGATTTGGAGATCATTTTGTAAAAGTGCAATGTTGGTAGTAATATTGAATAGTGTGTGTGTGTGTGTGTGTGTGTGTGTGTGTGTGTGTGTGTGTGTGTGTGTGTGTGTGTGTGTGTGTGTGTGTGTGTGCGTGTGTGTGTGTGTGTGTGTGTCCGTGTGTGTGTGTGTGTGTGCGTGCGTCATCATACTGTCATGTCCCTTGCCTGTATTAAATCAAATCTGAGTCCACCTTGGGACACATTTGCTCCCCTTTAGAGGCGCTCTCTCTCCTCCTAGTGGCGTCTCTTTGATACGACCTCTCAGACTCAGACATTACATCACCTCGACCCTCGTAAAAAAAAGGAAGAATCATGCAGTCTCTCCTCAGTGATGGTTACGCAACAGCCGTCATTATTCTGCACTACAGTCAGACGCTCTGCCAACCCTCCCACATAAAGCCTCACCCTCCACCTCTACACACTCAAAACACACCCAAGGGCTTTTTTAGATAAAAGCGTTCCGCGTCAATTCTGGTGGAAGAAGTACTCAGATTGAAATGTTCTCATGTACCAAAAATACAACGTGCCTGTTGTAGCAATAGACGGTATATGGTTGTGGCTCATATGCAATTATTTAATATGATTATGGACACATTCATGTATTTTCAGCAGGTGGAGTTAGTCTTATGACTTTGTTAAACTGCTGGTGGATTTTTTAACCTATAATATCTGTCAATGTTTATTCAGCTAATAATCTGAATCTGCAAAAACTCCCAGATACATTTGAGTAGAGGTATAAAGTATTAAAAATAGTCTACTTGTGAACGCTGAAATGTTGTGTAGTTAATTGTAAGAGATATATAGTTTGGGTCCGTAGCATTTAGAAACTGTCGGAGGCCAACTTTCATATTCAGCTGATATTTAAATGCATTTATCTTAACTATCCCCCTTATTTAAAGCAGTATTTTGTTATAGTATTAAGTTAGACACTTTGACAAATGTATTGTCAGAAGAGCGTTCATGTTCAAAGCCCCAACAGACTGGAGTACTTGACCTGCTGCTATTAGATCTCTGGCATCATTGGGTATGTTTAAACATTATCATCTCACTTTCATCTGGTCTGCACTTGGTATTGATGAAACTGATCTGCTCGACTGTCTCTCAAATTGTAATGGTTGTAATGATTGTATGTATTACTTGAATTTTATTTAACAGACTGTACGTGGTTTGTCATGTTTTGCTTTTTTTGTCTATGTATGTCTGTAAGTTGTTGCTATTGTCGGGACCCCCTTGAAAACAAGATGGTGCATCTCAAGGGGTTCATCC